TTTCGGGTTGAAATGTGCCCCCGTCGACGTTTCAAAAACTCATGGCGGAGGTGTTAGAAGGCTTCATTGATGATTTCGTACACGTCTACCTCGACGACATAATTATCTATTCCTGTACCTCAGAAGAACGTATTCAACATCTTCGACGAGTCCTGGAGCGTCTTCAAGTCCACGGTTTACGATGCGCTCTAGAAAAATGTAAATTCGGGGCAACCAACTTGGAATGTTTGGGGCATAAGGTCACAGCCCTAAACAACAAAGACCAGGAAAAGCACGTACTCAAAATCCAGGAATTTTCTACTCCTAAAACGCGAAAGGAATTACAGAGTTTCTTAGGGACAGCCAATTGGCTACGAGACTACGTGCCAAATTTTGCAATGGTGGCCGCTCCTTTAAGTGACCTCGTTGGAAAAAAACAATTCTTATGGATCACAGGCAGAGCAAGCATATCACGCTGTAAAAGAAGTACTATCGAAACCCTTAAGGCGTCCGGATCCAGATATGGGTATGATCTTGCAGACCGATGCAAGTTCCTTGGGTATGGGAGCTGTTCTCTACCAGGAGGACCGTGGTGGACAACGACGTATTTTATCTTGCGCGAGTGCCAAGTTCACCGCCACCGAGCGTAAATACCACTGTAATGAACAGGAGGTGCTTTCGGTGGTATGGGCTTGTAAACGTTACCAGGATTTTCTGGAAGATCACCCTTTCAAGTTGAGAACTGATAGTAGTGCCCTCTTGTGGTTGAGTAAATATAAAGACGATAGAGCGAAGTTAACAAGGTACACACTCTTATTACAAGAGTTCAATTTTACTGTCGAACACTGTCCTAGCCGTAGGAATCACTTAGCGGATTTTTTGTCCAGATACCCCGACGAGACTCAAGAATCAACTATTGACGAAACTAAACTCGGTTTACCGGAAGGACCTAGTGAAGATAAAGGACCACCTGAGGAAGTGGAATCATTCAGTCCCATTAGCCTTCATCAATCCTACAAAGTTGCAGCAATTGGAGCTACCGGGAACATCATAGTATGATGACATAGTAGCTGCGCAAACCCAGAGTCACAAATATCAAGCTACTCGAGCGAGGTGGCACCGGCTCAAGACGGGGAAGAAAAGGCTAAGGAAAACTGGTAGAAAAGATTGTTAAACGACTACCGTGTAGAATATGATTTGATCTGGTATGTTCGAAATTCTCGAAGGCAATTGGTAGTTCCACTTAATTTATGGCAGAAAGTAATCTCTCATTATCATGATTCCCCATCCGCTGGTCACCCTGACCGTGAGAAGACAATACAGGCCATTACCGAGTTATATTATTGGCCGACTGTACGCAAACAAATTAAGACCCATGTAAAACACTGCTTGATCTGTGCATCATCCAAGCGTGGAGGCACGACGCAGGCAAGAGCTCCGTTGAGACCACATCCTCGCAAGAGGCCATTATAAGTTTAGATGTAATGGGCCCCAACCCGGTAACGAGACGGAAGAACAAATACATAATCGTTATCACAGATCTTTGTACAAAATGGGTCGAAGCCAAGGCAGTCCCAGAGGTCCGAACCAGAAGCATATTAACGTTCTTAGAAGTTTTTTACTGATGGGGATACCCGGAAGAAATAATCACCGACAATGCCTCTGTTTTTCGTAGAGCTGCTTGGGATAGATTCCATAACCGACATCACATTAAACAGTATACTACACCTATTTACCATCAGCGCTCCAACCTGGTCGAGCGCCGCAACTAAGAGGTAAAAAAGCTATTAAAAATACATCTTCGAAACAAGTCATCAACATTGTGGGATCAATTTATTGGCATCATCTTATTTGTATTGAGGACGCGACGAAACGCGGCCATTGAGATGTCTCCGAGTGAGGCTCTGCTGGGAGCTACTTTAGTAAGAGCCGGCGAGTGGTCCCTCCATCCGGAGAGGCAAAGGGAGGTCGATAACCAGAGTCAATCTAGAAGACAACGAGAACAACAGATTCTAGGACAACAGGCGGTCTTCAAAAGAATATTATATCCACTTCCGCGGGACGCTCCGGTCAAATTTCAACTCCATGAAGATGTGTTGGTACGGAACTTCCCAGGAACGCAGGAAGCACTAAGGAAAGTCTGGTCTGGCCCGTTTAAGATCAATCAAATAAAGGGAAATGGTGTACGAGGGGGGACCCAAAAATAACCGGCGGAATTTCTTTGTAGAAAGCATTTACTTTATTGTTTTTCAAATACAATCTTAATCTTCTTCAAAGTACTCTCCATTAGCATTAATGCACTGGTCCAAACGTTCATTCCAGTGTTGGAAGCACCTTTTAAATTCGTCCTCTTTAATACCTGCTAGCACCTTTGTGACATTGAGTTTTACGTGTTTGACATCGACAAAACGCTTCCCTTTCAAGTCCCTTTTCATCCTCGGGGAAGAAGAAGAAGTCCGAGGGTGCTAAATCTAGCGAATAGGGCGCGTGAGTCAAGATAGTTGTCTTCGTTGAGGCCAAAAACTGGCGAACACTAAGGGCCGTGTGCGCGGGAGCGTTGTCGTGATGCAGGAACCACTCGCCGGAATTCCACAAAGTCGGACGTTTTCGCGCCAAAGCTCTGCGCAGCCTTTTCATAACCTCCAAATTGGTTTACTGTCTGGTTTTGAGAAACAAATTCTGAGTGTACAATCCCTTTGATGTCAAAAAAACAGATCAATATCGTCTTCACATTCGATTTCACCGGACGAGCTTTTTTTGGACGAGGTGAGCCAATTGACTTCCATTGACTTGACTGTTGTTTACTTTCTGGATCGTACCCATAGCACGATGATTCATCACCGGTGATGATTTTGTTGAAAAAATTTGGATCGTCTTTGAATGCGTCCTTCATTTCATGACAGGCTTGAACGCGACGATCCCTTTGATCTTCGGTGAGAAGTCTCGGCACGAACTTTGCTGCCAATCTTCGCATCCCCAAATCAACATTCAAAATTCGCTGAATTGAGCTCCAGGATAACCCGGATAAGTCCTCGAGTTTGTCGATTGTCCTGCGTCGATCTTCATTGATCAGATTACGGATTATGTTGTCCTCACTTCGAGCAGTTAAAGGGCGACCGGAACGGGGCTGATCTTCAATGGCCATTTCTCCCTTTCTAAACCGCGAAAACCATTCGTACACTTGAGTTTTACAAAGAGCATGTTCTTATAAGCTGTTTGCATCATCAGTTTCCGCTGCGTTCTTGCCGAGTAAAAAAAATCTTCACAGCCGCACGTTGTTCGTAAGAATCAGTCATTTTTTCGTGTTACGTCTGCACTCTCTTCTATTATCTATGGTCTGCACTGCACACATACACACATAACTGCCAGAGAAACCACAACAGTTCCTGTCGGGTGACGCCGCTTGGCGGAATGACTCGGGAGAGGTCCTAAAACTGCCCTCTGGCGACGCAACCTGGTACTATAAGTACACGAAGCGCAGCATTAAGATTCCGGTTATTTTTGGGTCCCCTCTTGTATACGAAATCGACCGAAATGGCACCCATTATCAAATATATGTCGATGATATCCGCCCTTGGAAGAGTGACCCATCATTTGTGACACCACACAAAGATCCGACGAACGAGGCCACTAGATATGACCGCGAACAAATGGATATGAGTATTCCACCGCCAACACCAGGTCCTTCCCGGGATGAAGAGGTTCAGGATTTCCAGGAAAGGCAAAGTCATATTGTTAAAGACAATCCTAGTTCTGTGAGAGGCCAGCCCCCAAAGCGGGGGCAGACGAGTATTCAGTCGCTATAGAATAGAAGACTTATGTGAGGAATGGGATTCTCAATATATTAATGACATAAACGCGGTTCCTATTGTAGGTTTGTACCTATAGGGTAAACTGTAATATTATATTGTTAGACTGCGTGTCTGTTTCTCCAGACATTCAGCCTTTTTTTTTTGGGGGGGGGGGGGGTTGCGCAGGATGTTGGCTTTTTCCTTAAAAAAAAAAAACCGGCCAAACAGGCGAGATTTATAATGATAAGAGGGTTTTGACTTCTTGACAGAAAAAGCCATCAAAAAATTTTTGAAATTATTTTTTTCAAAAAAGGTTTGTGAGCGGAAATAGACAACGAGTTATTAAACCATTTGATTTTACTTTAATATACAACTGAGTACTGAGACGATGGAGAGAGGAGCTCCGGAAATGCCGCGCGTTGAACGAATCGTTCCATGTGCCGCGACCTTGCCAGAAGACATTACTGTTCTCGAGCGAGAATTTTTGGCCTCCACCATATCTTTGGAGGAAACCACGTTCCTGGGATTCCCTAAGAAATCTCAGGATGAGGAAGAGTCGCGAGCAGTGCTCCCCGTAGCGGAAGGACGGCCACGACGACAATACATCTTACAAAAAAAATCGATAAAAAACGAAACGGCACAAATATCTCCAATACCGTTAGAGATAGGTACAGGGAATCTATACACAATTTGAAAGAGTTTTAAATTTGCAAACTCCCAAAGTAAAAATATACCGAGTGTCCCATTTAAAATAACCAAGTTATTGCTGTTTAAAGTTGAGAGAAGTATTCAGCAGTTTTTTGAACATCCTATGACGACAAATATAACAATTTCTAACTTCAAGGATCTAAAATAGACCCTCCAAAGCTTATTCCTTAAAATTATTTTTTCTACGATATGTCTGCATTTTCACTAAAATTGAAATATCTCACAAACTGTAAGTCCTAGGTATGCAGAACCTTTAATAGAGTTCACCTATTTTTTACGGTGCTTTCAAAAATGCAATAAAATATAGGGTGTTCCATTTAAAAATACATAACTTTGATATGGAACGCTTTTCCTGGACACCCTGTATATTTCAAAATATTTTTAAAATGTAGCCGTAATCAACCTACATATACCCACCTAAACAGGTTTCTGTAACATTTGCCGTTTGGTCCCTAGCGACCGAGGCGTTACTGGTGGCCCATCCTGTATAAAAAATATTTTATGAATATTTCTTCTTCTTACTTTAATATGTCGCATGGGTTTTATTTAGATCCTTTGAAATTTTTTCTTAGGCCCTGCCAACATTTAAAATAATCAGGATCCAATTTTTCACAAGTTTTGCTTCCCCATTCTGTAACAGCTAGACCCAGACAGCTCTCAAACATAAAGGCCTACAAAAAAAGTGGTTTATATATACAGGATCCTTCGCGGTAAGTGGCCTATTAAACGTTTCGGAGAAACGGAGTTATTTTAAATGGAAAACTCTATATATTATTGCATTATCGACAAGATATAATAAAAATAAATCAAAAATGGTAAAGCTTCCCTGTACCTAAATCTAACCGTTTTCGAGATAATCCACATTTTATAAAAATTATGACAGATGCAAGCGTTTCGAAAATTCTTTACATCTTTCTTCGTTCTGGAAGTTTTCACTTGCTTTTAGGAACACACAGAAAACATAATATGCACTACCTCCTACTATCAAAATCACCTGAAGAAAATTGTACTAAGTATGCCATTTTTTATGTTACAATTTGAAAATTTAAAATCGACAAAACTTTTTAAATTCAAATGGAATACACCCTGTATTTTTTGCATCATATTATAGAAAATCAAATTGTCTTTTCACCGACATAGGCATTGCAGAGGCAACAATTTCAATTTTCTTAGATATTTGCGGTTTTCTTTCATTCGGAAGAATATTAAATATATTAAAAATATTATTAAATGTGCCATGAAAGCCAAATATTGTGTTCCCAAAGCAAGTGACAGCTTCCAGAACGAAAAAAGAAAGGAATTTTTGAAAAGCTTGCATCTGTCAAAATTTTTATAATATGTCGATTATCTCGAAAACGGTAAGATTTAGGCACAAGGAAGTTTTAACACTTTTTACTTATTTTTTATTTATCTTGTCGATATAACCGGAAATGCTAGGTTGATGACACTATTTTCATTGGATATATGATAACCCTCGTAAACAAAATTTCAGTCAAATTATCTTTGGTTTCCCCGAAACATTTAATAGGCTAGTTACAATGAAGAACCCTGAACAATACAGGGTGTCACCTCACGAATGTTACATACTTCAAGGGTATAATCTATAATCTAAATGATTTAACCACACTTGCTTAAACTAAATATGCCGCAACAAAAATTACAGGGTGTTAAAATTTCTTTTTTTATTTCTTATTTTCTCCTTAACTCTGAACCCAGTTAACCGATTTGAGCATATGAATGTAACTGTAACTATTTTGTAGGTACGTTTAAATTTTTACACGCAACTATTGGAAATAGGTAAAAAATTTTATTCAATACAAAAAGTGTATACCTATCAAAAGTCGAAATTATGCTCGGTTCTGAAAATATCACAGAAAATATTTATTAACACATTGTTTCTTTTGTTTTTCACTTGCTGGTTTTTCCCTTCTTTTTGTTGCTTCAGTAAAATACACAACATTTCAAAACACATATATTGCGTTTTTCAACATGAAATGTATGAGCAGAATATAAAATAAACATTAATAATTGCGCAGCAATGTATTTCACACTCACATACATCGACAAACTTAGACAGACTGTAACCGACTGCGACCTGCATTCTGCATAGATAAAAGAGTTAGCGAAGCTCAGAAGCTGAGCGTTCTCTCAAAAATAATCCTAATAATTTCTGAACGTAAGCTAATTATAATCGGAGCGCTACATCCATTCTATCTACCATGGCGTTTGATAACGAAAGTATATAGGACCCTCAAGATATTGTGAATACATTTGCTACTATTTTCTCGAACGCTTTTGAAACACCTAATATATAAACTCCATACTGACCATTAACATCCTGAATAAGCTGCACATTTCGGAATCAGATGTACTTACTGCTATAAAAGGAATTAAAGACAATATGTGTATGGGTCCGCACTTAATACCAGCTTTTCTAGTCAGAGATTGCGCTACTGCATTTTGTGAATCTCTTATGATTTTATTTAATCTTATACTAAGTTCAGAAAATTTTCCAACCATTTGGAAATTATCAAGAGTTACACCTGTTCATAAAAAAGAAGCACCCATTTCCATATCGATTAATTTTTGTAAAATTCTGGAAATAATCTTGCATTCTTATATTCACGTCTCTAATATGATCATACCTGAACAACACAGTTTTATACATGGGCGATCCACCACTATAAATCTGACATGTAAGACACAATTTATATCTGAAGTTCTTGATCAGGGAGGTCAGGTGGATGTTATTTACACTGATTTCTCAAAAGCGTTTGATAAGATTGATAATTTTTTGCTACTACAAAAACTTAACAACTTTGGGTTTTGCGTTCATTTGCTCAGACTGTTTCAATCTTATCTATCTCATCACTATCACTTTGTTCAGTATCGTGGTTTCAAATCGTACACCTTTTCTCAGACTTCAAGCGTTCCCCAGGGATCAATACTAGGTCCTCTTCTATTTGTGCAACGAGGTCTTTTGACATTTAATAATTGATGTGTTAACAACAAATTGCCATTGAATACAGCTGAATGTAATGTGATGTCTTTTGGGCGCTTGATGTACCCACTGCTGTTTACATATAAGCTTGATGGCGATATTCTAGGAAGGCCTGAAGTCTTTAAGGATCTGGACATTTTATTTGACCCGCAGCTTAGGTTTGCGCGGCATGTAGAGCTTTCCATAGCGAGGGGGGCATATAACAACTTGGACTTTATTATACGTAATTCCAGTGAATTTAGAGATTTCACGACTCTTCGTCTATTATACACTACGTTTGTAATATCTAAACTTGAATATGACCCTGTCATGTGGAGTCCTATTTAAGAGTGCCAAATTTCTGCACTTGAAAAGGTTCAGAGGAGATTCTTTAAATCTGCAGCATTTATTCTATACGGTTTCTATCCTGTTAGACGAACACCACAGAATATATTTAACAACCGTTTCGAGTTAAACAAGTCCATTCCATATTAATGCTCTATAAAATAATTCACCATGTTATTAACTCTGATTATTTACTTGCTTGTTTAAATTTTAGAGTGCCAAGATCTACTAGCCGAATTAATAGCTTATTGCCGTACCCCATGCTCGTACTAATGTATTAGTTAAATCGCCTTTACATCAGATGTTAAATAACTATCGTGAAATTGAAAATTACGTTGATATCTTATCTTGTACACTGCGCGATGTTAAGCTGCGTTTTCAATGATCTGTTATGTGTTGTACTCTTGTTACATCTTTTTATTGTAGGTATTTCATAAGTTTATTTTATATTTATTATTTGTACTGGTGCATATTTTTCTTACATGCTTTTTAATTTTTTGTTTTGTTGTTTGCACTATTTGTTATACATTTTTTTCTCATTGTTTGCTTCACTTTTAAGTTATTGTACTGTTGACCTTACATTTCACTTTCTTTTCTCCACTTGTTTTTTTTTCTTCTTAATTGTGACTTAATTTTAAATTGTAACTTATCCTGTAATTGGGCTCAATTATATCTATTTATTTCAATAAATAAATAAATAAATACCATAAATAACATTCCGCCGCCGTTGAAATTACACTAATTTCAAGATCTATACTAATTAGTTACATGGAAGAACATAAATTTTTATAATGGGTCGAGTATATCCCATTTTTAGTTTTGAGTAAAATACTTCTAACGTGATTGTCTTTGCCTTTAAAAATGTCTATTAATCTAGCAATGTACTACGAATGAGGGGGTACATTGTCGTCATTAACTAACACTAAATTGTTGATTTTCACATCGGGTTTGTGGTTATGCCACTTTTTTCTCTATTATACAGCGTGTCCCACTAGTGCGGGAAAGTCCAATATCTATGTTAAAATGAGGAATATATGGATTTTTCTTTTTACTGTGTTGCCACATTTTTCGGAATGTACAAATTCAAAATATGTTCAACTATACAGGGTATTCCACTTTTCCTGGACAGACACCAACTTTGGTTTTTTAAATGGAAACACACATTTTTTATATTTTTTTCGGATTCTACATAAAAAATAAAGGGTACTTTGTGTAGAATAGTTCTATTCAAATATTCAGTTTTTGAGATATCTCGCTTGAAAGGTTTTTCTAGTCGATATTGGTTGCTTACATTTTCTGATACTGACAGGTTATACTAATAGCTACTAAGCCCATTTGTTTATCAGATGTTTAGTAAGGATGACTCTTCCGAATCATGCCCCAAAAACTGGCCTGCGTTATACAGGGTGGCCAAAATATCATGTCCAAATTGCCAATTAAAAAATTGAAAAATCTCGATTTTTTTAAATGCAACGCCCTGTATATTTTCATACCATGAGATGCAGAATTAAATTCTTTACAACTTTGCTATACCTGCTCCTGTACTAAAATTCATTAGTTTTTCATAAAATCTCATTTCTATGAAAAAATGCGAAGTTTACAAATAGTTCATATGTAAAATAACGTAGTAGGCTCCTGTCAAATGATAATCTGAAAAATTTTCGATTCACATAAGGTTTAATAGAAAAGCGACAGTAATAATTGTGAAATGAATTACTCTAAAGAAGTATTAGTAAATAAATAATAGAATAATTAGTAAAACTCATGGTAACTGTTTATTGGCAAGTCGTATCTACCAAGCTAATAATCCAGATTTACAAAGATATCCTCGTACAAAGTGTTTTGTAAAACTGAAGGAGAGGTTTGAAAGAACAACAAATACAAATTATGAGAAGACAACAAGAACAAAAGCATGCAGTATCCAAAACAGTAAATTAACATCGTGCATTTCTAACAAAAGTAATAAAGACCTAGTTAAATTAGTAAGTAGGTAACCGCTTAAAATGTCTGCCATTTTTTCTATAGACATTGAGCAATTCTACGACGAAAATGGCTTGACACATTTCGCAGCATTTCCGGAGTTAGGGTCAAAAAAGCATTTCTTATCTTTGCCCGTAAATCTTCTGCATCTGTCGGAGGAGTTTCACACACCCTGTCTTTTATATAGCCCCATAAAAAAAATCAAGACAAAACAGGTCTGGGGATCGGGGAGGTCATGGAATTGGCTACCTATCCACTTATCTGGATACAAATCATTTAAGTATTCTCTAATCTGAAACAGTTTTTCTATGAATTTACATAACTTACAAAATGAGAAAACTTACCGCCAGTGTGGAATGTGCAGAGGCACCATCATGTTGGAACCACTGTCCCTGCAATTGGAGCAAGTCGTTTTGTAAAAATTGCAAATACCCATTACCAGTTAAGTTTTCTTCAAGAAAATGTGGACCAATGACATATTCTCCGCATATTCCCGCCCAAACGTTGACTTTAAAGCGGTGTTGATGATCGTCTTGTCTTATTAATCTGGGATTATGATCGTAATGGTGATAATTATGTCGACTCTCTCGACCAATATTGGCAAAGGATGACTCGTCAGAAAATAACACCTTTGAAAACAAAATTTCATCTTGTAGCTTTATAGTTGCCCACTCACAAAACTGTACTCGCTTCTGAAAATCTTGCTGTATTAAGAATTGGTGATGCTCAGAATGATAGGGGTGGAAGTTGTTTTTCTTTAACGTTCTATTAACCACACTTTTGGAAATACTAATTTGATCACTAATTTCTCTGACACTTGTAGATGCATTTTGGACTGCACATTCCAAAATGTCAATTTGACTATCCTAATTACCACATGCATGTGTTCTTGTTGTCTTCTCATAATTTGCATTTGCCGTTCTTTCAAACCTCTCCTTCAGTTTTACAAAACACTTTGTACGGGGATATCTTTGTAAATCTGGATTATTAGCTTGGTAGATACGACTTGCCAATAAACAGTTACCATGAGTTTTACTAATTATTCTATTATTTATTTACTAATACTTCTTTAGAGTAATTCATTTCACAATTATTACTGTCGCTTTTCTATTAAACCTTATGTGAATCGAAAATTTTCCAGATTATCATTTGACAGGAGCCTACTACGTTATTTTACATATGAACTATTTGTAAACTTCGCATTTTTTCATAGAAATGAGATTTTATGAAAAACTAATGAATTTTAGTACAGGAGCAGGTATAGCAAAGTTGTAAAGAATTTAATTCTGCATCTCATGGTATGAAAATATACAGGGCGTTGCATTTAAAAAAATCGAGATTTTTCAATTTTTCAATTGGCAATTTGGACATGATATTTTGGCCACCCTGTATAACGCAGGCCAGTTTTTGGGGCATGATTCGGAAGAGTCATCCTTACTAAACATCTGATAAACAAATGGGCTTAGTAGCTATTAGTATAACCTGTCAGTATCAGAAAATGTAAGCAACCAATATCGACTAGAAAAACCTTTCAAGCGAGATATCTCAAAAACTGAATATTTGAATAGAACTATTCTACACAAAGTACCCTTTATTTTTTATGTAGAATCCAAAAAAAAATATAAAAAATGCGTGTTTCCATTTAAAAAACCAAAGTTGGTGTCTGTCCAGGAAAAGTGGAATACCCTGTATAGTTGAACATATTTTGAATTTGTACAATCCGAGAAATGTGGCAACACAATAAAAAGAAAAATCCATATATTCCTCATATTAACATAGATATTGGACTTTCCCGCACTAGTGGGACACGCTGTATATTCCGAATTCCATCGTTTCCAAAATACCTGCTTCAATGGTTGGACTTGTTGCCAAAATTTCAACGCTGTTACATCTATTTCGGGTAAAGAGACTACCAGTAAAAAAATGACCGAGATGAATATTCGTACGAGTCAAGATCATCATTTATAGAACATAAAGGCAGTGGCGGCTCGTCGGGTGACGCAAGTGACGCACCGCTTCACCTAAAATTTCCGTTTGTTTGTGCAATTTAAAATTATTTTAAATTTTATATAAATCTTATAATTTAGGTACAATTCTATATTGAAAATGTATTGTGTTTGTTTGTCTTATACGTAGAAATAAACAGAATAATTCCGCGGTGAACGCCTTCTAAAAAATTATTGCCTTCGTTGAGCGCGAACATCAACCTCGTACCATACAACGTATACTATGCAAGTGACTCATATTGAAATTGGTATGTATCTGCTCTGGGAGAACGAGTGATGCAAAAGTTGAAGCAGCATTCTCATCGTCATCGCGCATCGCCTGTCTATCGTGTGTAAACAGTTTATACGATACGTTGCCCGGTTATAATGGTTCTTTATTAATATTTGTTTTATATCAATAATTTGTAGAAATGTTTCCTATGCA